GCTCTTTTTCCCTCAAAGCCTGAGCAGAGCTGAACCCTTATTTCACTGCCATTCACAGACAACTGTAAGAGTGAAAGCAGAGTGATTTGGGCATAATTATCCTCATAACTGAGAAGTCTGTAGACCTCAGTGAAAACTAGGAACAGCATAATCAAACTGCCTCTCTTCAAATAAAGACAGACAACAGTATTTAAACTTGTAAATTGTTCAGACAAAGACTTACCATGTTTGATAAAGTATCTAACCTATTTGTGGTGCTGAATGAACACCACGTAAGAGAATGGACATTTTCCACAAACTTAGTCAAGATAAGCTCTGAAAGGTCAGTTTTTACCTTACTAAAGAAATTATCTAAGTTTGACACAATCTCTCTAAAGTACTAACAGCAAAAATGTTTTTCATCTTTCTGATACTTCCACTTCTTCAGGCCAAGAGGACAAAGTCATTTCGGTATAAAGAATTACATCAGCTAATAGAACAGGGGTGGGCAAAATGCGGACCACAGGCTGAATTCGGACCACCAAGCCATTCTATCCGGCCCACGGGGCCGCTAACAAATTTAGAAAATTAATAATTTATCTGCCCCTGGCTGCCTGTCATGAGGCCCTCAATGGCTTACCAAAACTCAGTAAGCAGCCCTCCACCCAAAGTAACTGCCTGCCCCTGTAATAGAAGAATCACAACAGGCCCTGACACATTAAGACATTCCTAACCCTATTTTATCTAAATAAGAAAAGTTGTCTCAGGTCACACAAACACAAACCAGTTTAAATGTGATTTATGCCTGAAGGTGGCAGACCTACAAGTCTTTTAAACTGATTTAAAGCCACATGGCATAGTCAGAAGTGTTATCTGGAAAGTCAAGTATATTTTGAACCAGATCACACTGAACTGGTTCATGTTACTTGTGGACACCAAGCATTCCACAACATGGAGTTGATCAGCCCTCCAAGAAAAGCCACTCTACTGCTTCCCTTTCTCCCCCTCCCTTTTGTTGGCACTTCTTAATCAATGAGCTCTCTTGTACTGCTTGTTCAATAAACGCTCGCTTCCTAACAACCAAGTGTGTTCTCACTCCCTACTCAACCAAAGTCCCTCATCATGACTTCTCCACCTGCAGGGAACCCAGAAGAAGGGGTCTAAGCCAGGGTGGGGCAAAGTCCAGCCTGCGGACCAAAGTGGGCCTGTAGCAGACTCCATTTCCCAGTAGCCCCCGCCCATGTCGCTGTGGCTAATTTCCATGGAGACCCCAGGAACAGCAGGCCATGCCAGCATAAGGCCACCGTTTCCGTGGAGATAGCTCCAGCACCACTAGCAAGACATGCAGCTGGGTAGGGAGCTGCTTCAGGGCTGGGGTCTCGCAGCGGTGACAGCGTGGGGTGTGCATGCAGCTAACTGGTTCTGCCGCAGCTCCGGACCACACTGTCACCACTGCAAAATCCAAGCCCGGCCACAGAGCAACTCCCTGCCCAGCTATGTGCCCTGCCAGTGTTGCCGGAGCGGGTCTCCATGGAAACCCTAGTCCTGCACTGTCACCACGATGCCACTACCGAGATCTCTATGGAAACTAGCCACAGCAATGTGGGCAGGGGCTGCTGGGAAAGGGAAGCCAACCACCAGCTGGATCTGCCATTTTGCCCACCCCTGGTCTGAACAATACTCCTTGCCCATACCCAGGCAAGCACACTTTACTCAGCTGCAGGATATTGCACTTCATTGAAATCATGTTCCAGAGAATGAAAAGAAGAAAAATGGAAACACCTCCATAAGTCTAAGGACCCTCCTCCCCCAAAGCATTGGTTCAAAGACCACCCTTCTCCCCCTCCCCGACATGCTTCCTAGACATCAGGGCTGGAAGGGACCTCATGAGATCATCAGGTCCAACCCCCTGCCCAAGGGGCAGGAAGTCAGCTGGGCTGGGTGTTCACTCCTACTCCATCATGTCAGAGCTACAGCACTTCACACAATTGTGAACCAGGTCCCAATCAGGGACATTTGAGAACAGTTCTATTTTTGCATGTGCCCTTACTCATAAAAAGTAAGCTTTTTTTCTTTAGCTAGAACAACACATATATCCTTCTCTAAATGAAATCTTGCTTGTGGTCAATAAGCAAAATCACTGCTGGAAGCATCAGTTTTTTGAAGATGCATACACACTCATGTGCATGTCCTATTCCAAATTAACATCTTGTCAAGACTTAGTGGATTCTTTCTTGGGAATTAAGGACTTACAAGTAACTAAAAAATGTTCTCTGTTCCAAATTTCAAGCACACATGTGAGAGCAGTAATCACAAGGAGAAAGTTTCCCGACTTCTAGAAAGCTCTTGCCTTATTCTACCATGGAGAACAAAGTCCTTTCAAAATAAAGACTTCAGTGATAGATACTTTTTGTAATAACGTACTTAATAAAATGAGCTGATTCATAAACACATCTATCACTTGCACGATTATGAAAAGAAAGAACACAAGGCAATTTTCACTCACTCTTAAAATGGTTTCCCTATAGCACAAAAGAAAATTGAGATTTCCATCATTGTGTCCTTCCTTTAAAAGGCTTTGGAGAAATCACTTCCCTTTTAAAAGCCTTCATTTAAAAACATACAGCTCCACTCTGGAAAAAACATCATTATGGACAAGCTGGAACCTGTTAGGGACTATCATCGTTTTTGGGGGGCTTGTTTTGTTTTTGTTTTTTTTGGGGGGGGGAGGGGGTTGTTTATAAAGGTTTTAGCCCTTTTGATTGAAAAGATAACCCCTCCAACTAAACGTCTGAATGTCAGCAGTCCCAACTTCCTTCATGAAGGAAATATCACTCATATGTATAACGAAGAGACTTACAAATGACAGAACCTCAGGATGCATGTCCCATCTTAAGGCAAATCAGGACTCATAGTAGAGATGATATCTTTTATTAAACCAACAAGATTTTTGGCAAAAAAAAATGTCCTTAACTGCAAGCTTTAAGGCACAAACATCCTTCATCAGGCATTGGAGAAAAGATTGTAAAAGTTCTCCTGGGTAGAAATGAAAGTTCATATTTCATAGGATTTCACAGAGGAGTCACTAGATGGAAAAGTGCTCTGGGCAAATCAGTTCATAGCTGGTATGGAGCCTCTCTCAGAACTTCTGTGAGGTTCTGCGATGATGCAAAGTTACTTTGAAACAAAGGCAGGAGCAGGATCTCAGGTGGTCACAGTTGCTTCCTGCTTGGGGATACCTGTCCTATCTTATGTAACTCTTCATTATACATATGAGCAATGCATCTTTCATGTATATATTTCTCCAACAGGACACAAGCCAGTCACCAGCTTGCAGGGCCTGGGAAGTAATTTTCTCTATGGGTGAGTTACTGCATAGTTACCAGACACAAGATTTACATTCACAAAAAATCCTGTAAAAAACATGCAGACAGTTATGCTCTAAAAATGAGCAAATATTTCTGTTAAATAGAAATATACACCTTACAATCTTCAAAAAACTTTCAGAATACTAAAAGCCCCATAAATTACTTCAGTAATCTATACAATTAATTAAAATTTTGTTAAAAACCACACTTCTGTATAATTTAGGCTATCCTAAAATATGTCTTTTTACTCGCTTGCACAGTAATTTGATTCACAACATATAGCTAGCACTTCTTCCACATTTTCCAGTTAGTTTGTGGCACTTAGTCCGGATGAATTTGTATACCAAGAAAGATTTCGGGTCCAGAGACATTCCAAGACAAAACTTGAAAAATGAGACCAGCATACTAATACTTGTTCTTTTAGTTCAGTCCAGCACCATCCCAGTAACCTTTCACAGGTAAGACTGCTTCATATCCAGAGTTCCTTTTCAAGTTATTGCAGCTTGTCTTTGTGATTTGTTGGGCTCTCGTGTGCAGCAAAGCCAAGTTTTTCCTTGACTTCCTTGATTGGGTCAGGGGAATCACGTACCAAGAGGCTCCATGTCTTAAATTTCTTGTTCACTTTTAGTATGGCAGAAAAGTGTGCCCCAAATACTGCAAGATCCATTCTGATTATAGGGCAACGTTTATGCAGCCCTACCAGATGCTGCCTCAGTGGCATCAAAACTGCTAATGAGCCTCAAAATAATAAGCATAAAAACAGCCAAAGTTCCCCAGTGGGTCAGTATAGGCTCTGGTGGAACAGACACATCAGGCAGAACTTCTTCTATGTAATGTTAAACCCTCAGTGACCCATTACAAACATTTTTTTCCACACTTGAAATGTTAAGGAGTTGACAGCTGGAAACGCATGTCTAAATTGTTCAGAAACCCCACTGAGGCCATGTACCAGACAAGTAAAGTGCAGTAGGTGTGGAAAGAACACTTGAAGTACTGTTGCCACTTTCAGCATATAGGCTGCAGCATCTGAAAGTAGAAGACATAATTTCTCTTCATTGCTGGCAGTAGAGTTAAGCCATAGTAAATGTAAATCATTCATAAAGCGTGCTATTGTTGCACGATTTGTCCTCTCCAACACTTTTGAAGAAGTCAAAAGGTGAGGTATGGCAGGTTCAACAGTGAGTTTCCCAACTATCAAACTGCCTATATAATAAATCGCACGTCGTCTACTGCCTCATCTACAGCAATCCAAACGTGACTTTCCCCAGTATCACTACGAATCTCCTCAATTACAGATCGAATTGTAAAACTAATGTCAAAAAAGTTCCCCCTCCTATACTTATTAATATGGTGCATGTTGATGTAAATATTATTTTTCCAGGAAAACATGAAAAAGTGGGTTAATTAGCATATTCCAAGGAATACTGATGCATGCATACCACAGCTCTATGGGGATCAGCAGCAAAATGATTAGGCTCTACAGAACAACACTTTTGTCCAAGAAGAACTGGTATGCTTTTAACTTTTTCTTGGCTTTGTAGCTAAATGCTTGCTAGCCTTCACTCATCTCTGGAGCTGAAATTATTTCCTCACATAGAACCTGCTTCCCACATGGTTGACAAAAAATAAAAATAAAAATAGAAGTAATTTTACCTTCAGTTGTAAAGCCAGTATCAGCTGCAATCTACTGCTGTAGTAGTACACTTTCATTAGAGATTTGCCTTCTGGTGCTATTAACAGAAAACAGCCATCACTAATTCAAAGCTCTCAAATAACTTCAGAATAATAAAAACAAATCTTCATATAAAATAGCACAGCATATTCACCACTAGGGCAATCTGTCTCACTAACAGAAAT